TTCGCCTCTTCGGGCCCTCCTGGAGGACCTCTTGGAAGCCTCTTGGGCCGTCTTGGAGGCCTCTTGGAGGCCTCTTGGGCCGTCTTGAGCCATCTTGAGGCCATCTTAGGCCGTCTTGGGTGCATCTTGGGCCGTCTTGGAGGCATCTTGGGGCCATCTTAGCCGTCTTGGAGGCCATCTTGTCCATCTTGCGAAGAAGCCGACGAGATGGGCACCCTGGCGGGACGGGCCGAAGCCCCAGGGGGAGTTCTTTTGGAAAAAAAACAAAACCAAAACCGCAATAATTCGGCACGCCAGGCACCCCCTCTGCGATGAATCGACAGGGGGCGGCGGATCTCTGGTCGGGACTCGGGTTCTGGGGACTCGGGTTGGCCTGACGGGGCCATCAACGAAAATGACGAGACCCAGCCTGACATTTGACGCGAGCTCCCGCTGCACACATCCCACGAAAACCGGACCGCCCAAGTCCAGGACGCGCTCGTCAACAAGAACGTCGGCACACCCGAGCTTAGGCTTATTCTTAGGTTGGGCCTTGTCCCCCTGACTCTCGGGTCGGGCCTGCCCCGAGGCCCAGCGGGCCCTAAAACAGGGCTATAGGATCGGGATAAATCGCTCCAGAGCGTTCCGGAGCGCTCTCAGAGCGTTCCGGAACGCTCTGGAGCGGCCGCGGCGCCCAATACATCCTCCAAACCCGCCGATTCTCAGAGATTTCGAGTTATCCCGATTCGATTTTGTCCCGATCTTCGCGTCGTTTTAGGCCCCCCGGAGGCCGCAAACGGCCCCAAACCGCCGGCTCCCGCTTTCTGGGAGCGTCGGACCCTTCTGCCCTGGGCGGCCTCGGAGCCCGAGGCGCGCCCCCGGGTCGGCCACACCTCTAGGTCGGGAGGGGGAAAAGCGCACACAGACACAATGCGTCGTCGACCTCCCCGGGAAACATGGGGAAGTATGGGAAGTGGTGGGGGCGGGACCCAAGCCCAGAAACAGAAATTCTGGGGAATCCTGGAATGTGTTTGTGTGTGAGTGTTTTGTGTGTGTATGTGTGTGTGTGTGTGTCTGTGCGTTTTGTGTGTGTGTATTGTGTGTGTTGTGTGTGTTGTGTGTGTTGTGTGTGTTGTGTGTGTGTGTTGTGTGCTGTGTGTGTAGTGTGTGTGTGTGTGTTGTGTGAGTGAGGTGCGTGTGTGCGTGTGTGCGTGTGTGCGTGTGTGTGTGTGTGCGTGTGTGTTTGCGTGTGCGTGCGTGAGCGTGCGCGTGCGTGCGTGAGTGCGCTTGTGTGCGTGTGTGTGGGGTGTGGGGTGTGGGGTGTGGTGTGTGTGGTGTGTGTGGTGTGTGGTGTGGGGTGTGGGGTGTGGGGTGTGGGGTGTGGGGTGTGGGGTGTGTGGGGTGTGTGGGGTGTGTGGTGTGTGTGTGTTGTGTGTGTGTGTGGTGTGTGTGTGTGGTGTGTGTGGTGTGTGTGTGTGTGTCTGTGTCGGTGTCTGTGTGTGTGTGTGTGGTGTGTGTGTCTGTGTGTGTCTCTGTGTGTTTTGTGTGTGTGTGTGTTGTATGTGTGTTGTGTGTGTGTGTGTGTTGTGTGTGTGTTTTGTGTGTGTGTGTTTTGTTTGTGTGTGTGTGCCCCTGGGGGTCGACGGCGGATTATCCGCCGTCGACCCCCAGGAACGTACGGGAACATGTGGGAAGCGCAGGGGGAGGACGAGGGCCCAGAAAGCATGGGACAACTATGCGGGGAGCAGGGATGGACCTGAACGCTGTTTTCCTGGATTACATGCTTCGTATCATTCTTATGTTTTTGTACTATTAGTATTGCTGTGTGTCTTCCTGGTATTATCATTGTTATTATTATGTTTTTCTTTATTATTGTTAACGGCTGCGTCTTGTTTCTCGCTGCTGGCAGGGAGGTGTGCCGGAGAACAGGCAGGGCAGAACGAGACACACAACGAAAGCAAGACGCACAACAGTGTTCAGGTCCAGCCCCGGCGTGTGCCCCCGGGCCCCGCAACATTCGTCGTCGACCCCCCGGGAAAGTATGGGAACGTGTGGGAAGTGGTGGGGTGGGGGACGACAGCCAAGAAGACATGGGAACGTACAGTCGGGCCGCTGAAGAAGGGAACCCTTTTCGTTTGGGAGGGGTTCCGTGCTCCTTAGTGGTTTTTTAGAGTGCTCCCCGGGTTTTCCCGAGGTTTTCCATGGGGAATCGGAGTTTCACACATGGGAAAAAGGGGCCTCCTTCCTTCTTCATCGTTCCTTAAGGTCGACGCCCCGACTGTATGTGGTGATTCTATAGGCTTACGCCACATCCGCCGACCCCTCATCTTGGCGGTCTTGCCGGCTCGCTTGAATCGGGCTGGGGAGTCGTGTAGGGGTCCATAATGACCTCTCTTGGGGCTCGAGAGTGCGAATCCTTTTTGTGCGCAAACGCAACCCCGCCACCGTGCCGGGGTTGTTGATATGAGACTTGTGCGGTGATCGTTGGGATCTCTTGGGGGGCTTCTCGCGGGACTCTTGGAGGCAGTTTGGCTACGTGAGCCGACGGAAGCCGGGAAAGGCAACAATTGCAAACATGTTCAACAACGCAATGGAAATGTAATGAAATGCGTAATGTGCGCCTCTTTCAGATGTCCTGGGGGTCTTCTTGGAGACTTCGTGGGCGATAGTGAAAGCCTTTTAGGCCATCTTGATGCCATCTTGGGCCGTCTTCGAACTGTCGTGGGCCGTCTTGGAGCCATGTTGGGCCGTTTTGGAGCCATCCTGGGCCGTTTTGGAGCAATCTTGGCCTCGAGAGCGCGAATCGCCCCGACTGTATGTGGTGATTTCCCTAGCTCTCTGGGTGCGGCCCAGGGTCCCACCCGTGCAGGGGCGGCCCCTCCCCTGAGGTGCGCGGCCTTCGGGGCGGCCGAGCCCAGGCCAGGGCTTCGATTTCGACTCCCCCTCGATAGAAAAAACGTTCAAACAAATCAAACAATCAAACAACTCAACTCAAAAAATCAAACTTAAAACAATCAATTCAAACAGTCAAAACAAGCTCGACTCCTCCTCGATGCGATTTCGACTTCGACGGCTTCCGCTTTCGACTCGACCGGGGAATCCGACTTGGGCCGCTCCTCGGTGCGATTGGACTTCGACGGCGTCCGCTTCCGCTTCGCGTCGACTTGCGAGTCCGACCTGGGCTCGGACTTCTCGGCGGCCTGGCCTGACGATCTCCGCCGATTCGATGTCTCCAGACTCGGCCGCCGCTTTCTGCCGATCCGATGGGTTTCGGTCGCCGGTCTGATGTGCCGATTCGATTCTGGGCTCTCCTGCCAGGCTCGAAGAGGAGGCGGATCGAGGAGGAGGAGGAGGATCGAGGAGGAGGAGGAGGAGGAGGCAGCGGTCGGCCAGTCTGCGCACCTTCGCCGTGGTTCCCAGCTCGGGGAAGCGTAAGACTCGAGCAAGCTTCGGTCGGGCATGTCCCTCTACAGGAGGAAGATTCCAGAGTAGTCCCAAAACATGGTCTGGGGTCGATGTTTCGATGATTTGTCGACAAGATTGGTGTGGGTTTTGACTATTTTTTATTTGTCCCCCAAGATCCGCCTGTAGTGGGACATGCCCGACCTAAGAGTAAACAACCTAAACTCGGGTGTGCCGACGTTTTTTTACGAGCGTGTCCTGGATTTGGGCGGTCCGGTTTTCGAGGGATGATTGCAGCGAGAGTTCGCGTCAAATGACTAGTTGGGTCTCGTCATTTTCATTGATGGCCCCGTCAGGCCAACCCGAGTCCCCAGAACCCTAGTCTTACGACTCCCCGACCAGCGATCCGAAAGCTACAAAAAAGTCGGAAGCGGTGTGGGCTGTTTTCGGCCTCTGGGGGCCCTCGCCGTACCTCGGGACCGTCTGGATGCCTCCGAGATGGGGTCGGAGTAGATGGGGTCGGAGGATCGCGCCGCATCGGCGATGCATCGACGACGCATCGGCGATGCATCGTCGACGCCGACGATGCATCGGCGTCGTCGACGTGAAGCAAATCGGGCTCCACATCGAGCCGCATCGGCGATGCGGTGCGATCCTCCGACCCCATCTGCCCGGACCCCATCCAGAAGGCCTAGGCCGTCAGAGCAGAACTCAGGGCGTACAAAACCAGCCCCAGGGAAGTGGCCCGGGCCTCCGGGGCCCACGCATCGAGAAAACATCGGAGCGGCCGGATGTCCTCTTGCGCGCTCAGCCGGCCCAGGAAGCCATAACCGTAGGATTAAGTCGGGCCTGTCCTGTCCCTCTACAGGGGGAATATTCAAAAATAGTCAAACAATGATCTGGGGACGATTTTTGGATTGTTTCTAGACTTATTTTACATATTTGTTGCCCAAATTCCGCCTGTAGGGGGACATGCCCGACCTAACCGTAGAATCGGTGGTTCAAGGATGGGGTCCTGAGAGATGAGGTCCTAGGGAACAAGGTGCCCCAAGCAACCTAAATCCACCCTTGGATCACGTTCTATCCTTAGGACCCCAACCCTCAGGACCCCATCCTTGAGCTTCCGACAGAAGAGCCCGACGCCTCGATTTCCTCGCGACGACTGTTTCCCAGACCCCCGACGTCATGATTTGTTCCTGACGTCGGCCATGAGAGGTCTCGACCCATTCCCCGGGAATCGGTGTTTCATCCTGAATCGTTTTTTACAGGCCCCGAGGCCCGGTAAGGGCCTCCACAGGCCGAAAATAAGAGAAAAAAACTCCCCTCATGATTTTTGGGGTGGCCCAAAAGGGGGTCCAGCTGAAAGGGGGTGGTGCAATAGATTTGGGGCAATTGTATTGCAAATGTATTGCGCCGGAGAACTGTATTGCATTGCATTGCACGTGAACATCCAGCAATACATCTGCGCCCCAGAATGTATTGCACGCCCCAAATTGACTGCAACCCCACAAATCCATTTGACCAAATCTATTGCACCACCCTCTTGTCGCTGGACCCCCTTTATGGTCAACCCGAGATTTTTTCATTACCCGAGGGGATCTGCGCTTGTCGGCCCGCAGGAGACGAGCGGCCCGTCCCGGCAGAGCGGTACGTGTCCCCGGTCGTCGTGCTGGTCCTCCACGCGCTCCTGCTGCTCGACGTCGTGTCCCACCGCAGGCACCTGTGGCTGGCCCAGGCCGCGGGGCGCCTGGGGCGAGGAGGAGGAGGAGGAGGAGGAGGCAGGAGAGAGGAGGCAGGAGAGAGGATGAGGAGCGCCGCGGGGGACCCGGGGCCCCAGACCTCCGACTTGCAGTCCCAGCGGCGCTGTTCGTTGCGTTGCGGCCTCCGGTTGCCAGGCCCCCGGGGTTGTGCTCCCGCTCGTTCTCGTTTGGTCGGCTGCCGCATCTCCTCCTCCTCCTCCTCCTCCTCCACCTCCTCCTCCTCCTCCCCCTCCTCCTCCTCCTCCCTCCTCCTCCTCCTCCTCCTCCTCCTCCTCCTCCTCCTCCTCCTCCACCATCTCAGCACTCCAGTGGGGGATTTCCCCCTCGAATACCACCAGGAAGCAGCCCATATCCCATCTGGGGGGGAAGTCGGCCAGTGGGCCCCAGGCCACCCCCATAGGGAAAGGGGTCGATTCAAAGATGCTCATTGGGGCGATTCCAGACGATGGGATGAGATCTACTCCTACGAGGTCCCACGAGGAACGCTATCAGCACGAGTTGCAGGAACAGGTATGACTGACAACTTCAATTGATCCGACCGGCTAGTTTGGTTCTCCATTGGGCACCTTGGTTTGGGGGGCTCGCGGCACAGGGGCCCCTCATGCCTTGGCATTTTGCAGAGAAAAATACCGTGTCCACCATGCCACCTGGCTCTCTGAGTGTGTTGCGTATGTTCACATACATTTGAAACCATATTCGGGCAAGTCTGGCTAGCATCATGTTGCAAACATATTATGTTTATGTGTTTTCTTCTCTTCCCCAGACCGTACCGCGTCGTAAAATTACGCTACCGAAGAACCCCACATACTTATAGTATTGCAGGAGTGATGATAGCCTCCTCCTCCTCTTCCTCGTCCTCTCCCCCTCGCCATTGATACACTCCTTCGCACCCCCTACAGTGTCGAGAGAGTGCTATCCTGCCTTGCCCTGGACAACCGGCTCGGATAGCGGCCGCGCTCAGGGACCACCCCTTGCGCACCCCCTACGGTGTCGGAAAAGTGCTACTCCTGCTATGCCCTGGACGACGGGCTCGGATAGCGGCCGTGCTCAGGGACCACCCCCTGCGCACCCCCTACGGTGTCGGGGAATGCCACTCCTGCTATGCCCTGGACGACCGGCTCGGACAGCGGCCGTGCTCAGGGACCACCCCCTGCGCCCCCCCTACGGTGTCGGGAAATGCCACTCCTGCTATGCCCTGGACGACGGCTCGAATAGCGGCCGCGCTCAGGGACCACCCCCTGCGCACCACCTGCGGTGTCGGCAAATGCCACTCCTGGTATGCTCTGGACGACGGGCTCGGATAGCGGCCGCGCTCAGGGACAACCCCCTGCGCACCCCCTACGGCGTCGGGAAATGCCACTCCTGCTATGCCCTGGACGACGGGCTCGAATAGCGGCCGCGCTCAGGGACCACCCCTTGCGACCCCCCTACGGTGTCGGGAAATGCCACTCCTGCTATGCCTTGGACGACGGGCTCGGATAGCGGCCGCGCTCAGGGACCACCCCCTGCCACCCCCTGCGCCCCCCCTACGGTGTTGGGAAATGCCACTGCTGCTATGCCCTGGACGACCGGCTCGGATAGCGGCCGCGCTCTGGGACCACCCCTTGCGCACCCCCTACGGTGTCGGTGAATGCCACTCCTGCTATGGCCTGGACGACGGGCTCGGATAGCGGCCGCGCTCAGGGACCACCCCCTGCGCACCCCCTACGGCCTACGGTGTCGGGAAATGCCACTCCTGCTATGCCCTGGACGACGGTATCGGACAGCGGCCGCGCTCTGGGACCACCCCCTGCGCACCCCCTACGGTGTCGGGAAATGCCATTCCTGCTATGCCCTGGACGACGGGCTCGGATAGCGGCGACGCTCAAGGGCCACCCCCTGCGCCCCCCCTACGGTGTTGGGAAATGCCACTCCTGCTATGCCCTGGACGACCGGCTCGGATAGCGGCCGCGCTCAGGGACCACCCCTTGCTCGCCTCCTACGGTGTCGGGAATTCTATTCCCCAGACCGTATCGCGTTGTTAAAAAGTCGGTAGGTTTTTGGCCATTTTCGGCCTCGGGGGGCCTTCGCCGGGTCTCGGGACCGTGCAACAGCGAGTCGGTATAAAACACCGGTCCCAGGAAAAGGGTTGGGACTTCCACGGACCCCGCATTCGAAAAAAAACATGACGTCGCAAGTTTGGGTCTGTCCTGGGCCCACATGAGCGACCCAACAAAACCGGGTCCGTCTGCGCCGACAATGGCGCGTAAGCTGCCCGCGTAAGGTCGCGCGTAAGCGCCCTCGTTTCCAATTTGGCGAGCCTCGCTGGCAGCCCGCGTAATCCGCCGCGTAAGGTCGCTACGTCATCTCGCGCAAGGCCTGTCTTTGATCGTCGCTCACATGCGCGTGTCCAAGATCGGTTCATGCGGGCAGTCGGTGCCCTCCCACCCAAACCTCCGTCCTCTAGATTTTCCCAAGGCGGGGTCCCGGTTCTCGATCCACTCCCCATGGCCGTTTCTCCACCAGGGCCGATGTCCGACGGTCTTATAAAGGGGGTTGCTAAAGGTGCCCCTGGCCGAAGATGCCCCCAGTTTCTCGCTCCATTTTCGAGCTCCTGGGGCCCTCTGGGCCTCGTGAAGGGTTCTCTGGAGGCCGCGTAGGCCTCCTTGGAAATCCTGGGGGCACCTTGGACCGGAAATCCTTCGCGCCTTAGGGCCCCGAGCCTGCCTGGGTGTTGCCCGAGGCGTCCGTGGTCCCGAGGTTCGGGGGTCATAGAACCCCACTTTGCCGAGGCGATTAGCGCAATGTCCAGAGGTTCGCCAACCTTGCCAAGTTGGGTGTCGAATTTCCCTGCCTCGGTTCTTGGGAGGGCGTCGCGGCCGCAGTTCGTGTGCGCCGGCGCGTGCCAGGTCTGGTGCTGGGTCGTGTTCACCAGGGGGTGGCTAAGGTCGGCGGCGAGCGAGGGGGGAAGTGAGAAGGAGAAGGCCTTCTCAGAAGGTGGCGGGACTTCTCAGAAGCCCTCGCGCGCCTTCTGCGAAGTTTTCTGTGCCTTCGGGGAAGACTTGGACATCTTTTCAGAAGGCCAGGGGACTTTCGAGCCTTCTGAGAAGGCCCGCCCGCCCCTTCTCACTTCCCCCCCCGGGCTCGCCGCCAACTATCGTAGTCTTAAGTCGGGCCTGTCCCTCTACAGGAGGAAGTTGGCGCGCGCAACATTGGGGATGCACGCCGAAGTTTACGGCGGGGATCTCTCGAAGCAGAGTAACTGTTCTACTCTGCGGCCCCAGGGGTCCCGACCTCTTTCCGTAGGTGTTTGTCCCAGATCCGTTTTTGATAGCCCGGGGACCTTGTGACCGCTCTTCGGAGCCGAAGTCGGTAACAATGTCGGGGCTGAACAACCCAGAGACCCAACGTATCGGACAAAATTCAGACGGATATTTTTTGAAGTTTTTGGCCTCTAGGAGCCCTCGCTGGGCCCCGGGACCGTCAAAAGACGATCCAGGATGAAAAACCGGTTCTGGGGAGTGGGTCGAGACTCCTGGGGGTTCCGTATGGAACAAATCATGACATCGAATCTCTGGGAACGCGCCTCGACGGAGATCTCGGTTCATGCACGTGGCGGGGCGCGTGCGGTTTCTGTTGGGGCTCCCCGCAGGGGCCGCGCGCGCGCGCTGAGCTGGCCTCCGCGGCCGCGGCGGTGCTCGCCTACCTCCGCACGGTCCTGGCGGACCCGGGCTTCCTGAGGCCGGAATCGCAGCAGCCTCCGAGGCCCCAGGGGGGCAGAGGACGAGCATCCCGAGGGTTTGGCGTTGCTCGGACGTGTGCGTGTTTCGTCGGCGAGGGTCATCCCCAGAGATCCAGCGCATTGAAAAAATCGAGACGGAGGTTTTTCGCAATGTTTGTCCTCTAGGGGCTCTCGCCGGGCCCCGGGACCGTCAAAAACGACTCAGGATGAGAAACCGGTCCTGGGGAAAGGGTCGAGATTCTGGGCCTCCGGGGACCCCGTTTTGAAGAAATCACGACATCGGATCTCTGGGTCCAGGGGCATTTGGGATCATCTTGCGAAAGATAAGCGCACGAAACCGAAACATGCAAGGGGAATGGACGTCCGAGCGATTGCGAGAAGGACGACGCAAGGGGGGCGGGCAGAAGTAGTCAACGGATTATATCAGAGTGAGGGGGCCGAACGGTCATTCATTGTACTTGAGTGCGTGGTCGAAGTGGGCTTCCGCGGTACGGATTGTTGTTGATATTGTTGATGTTGTTGTTGGTGGTAGTGGTGGTGTTGTTGTTCTTCATGGTGTTGGTGTTGGTTGTGTTGTTGTGGTTGGTGTTGGTGTTGGTGTTGTTGTTGGTGGTGTTGGTGTTGGTGTTGGTGTTGTTGTTGTTGTTGTTGTTGTTGTTGTTGTTGTTGAGCGCTCATTTCCGAAGAGTTACTGTAGTTGACCCTTCCCGCTGGTAACATATGTTTCTTGCATTGAAGTGCCCCTCCTGGGGCCCGTACCCTGTTTTTTTTATCAGGGAGACTATTCTCCCTCAAATTGTGCCCCTGCTCCCCGATTGACAACAACAACAACAACAAAAACGACAACAACAACTTAAACAACAACATCAATAATAACAACAACAACAACAACAACAACAATCATTTTACCCGAACGCTCAGTGTTCTCACCAGTGCCAGGGTTTTCATGCGACGCAAGACAATACCCCCACTTCGTGGGGGGGCAGTTCAAGCTCTACCAAATATCCAAACGACTCTTCGCGACCACCCAAACCCAGCTTCCCGCCCTATGACGTTGGGACACTTCACTTCGTGGCGTGCGGACGACCGTGGCTACTACACTGGCGTGGGGTACACACCCACAGAACTTGGTCACTTATTCGGGGCGCGCGTGTGCCCAGCATCCTGCAATTGTGACATACAATACATGACACAGACAGACAGAGAGAGAGACAGAGAGCAGACAGAGAGAGAGACAGAGAGAGCGGAGTTGGTCACATTTTTGGGGCAAGTTCCTGAGATCGTCGTGTTTTTTGTTGGTCTTGCGCGCGCGAATGTCCACTTTACTTTTTTTTGCAAGGGAGTATTGAAATTTGATTATGTTAGAACAAGAAAAAGTAGCTCGCGCGAGCTCATGTAACATAAATGTTGAAAAACCATTGGTTTTGTGGGAGTCGGACAGCGCGCGCGGGATGAAATTTGGACATTTTTTTTTGAAAAACCATTGGGTTTTTGATGTTTTTATGTTGAAATCGTTACGAAACCTAAGGTTCTGGAAGGATTTCGTCTTGCGCGCGCGAATGTCCACTTTACCTTATTTTTTGCAAGGGATTATTGAAATTTGATTATGTTAGAACAAGAAAAAGTAGCTCGCGCGAGCTCATGTAACATAAATGTTGAAAAACCATTGGTTTTGTGGGATTCGGACAGCGCGCGCGGAAGGACATTTTGACAATTTTTTCTTAAAAAACCATTGGGTTTTTGATGTTTTTATGTTAAAATCGCTACGAAACCTAAGGTTTTGGAAGGATTTCGTCTTGCGCGCACGAATGTCCACTTTACCTTATTTTTTGCAAGGGATTCTTGCAATTTGATCAAGTAAGAACAAGAATTTTCATTTTATAGTGTTTTTTGCAAGGGAAAACGGATTACAACAAAACAACCGGATCCGGTGACAATCCACTTTTCTGAAGCTTTCGCGAAAATGATGAAAATGAGCTGCGGCCTAGGTTTTGGAGGGGGGTCGCGCACCAGGGGTCCCAACAATAATTATTCTTTAGAAGAAATAATGTTCAACAACAACAACAACAATTACTAGCACGTGGGGACACTCCGTTCTCACCAGTGCCAGGGTTTTCATAGGAGGCGGGCAATACCCCCACTTTGTGGGGGGGCCGGTTCAAGCTCTACCAAATTTCCAAACGACTCTTCGCCACCACCCACACCCAGCTTCCCGCCCTATGACGTTCGGACACTTCACTTCGTGGCATGCGGACGACCGTGGCTACTATTCAGGGCCCCGCGGCCGACGACGACGGCGTGCGCGCGCGAAGAAAAAACGAATGTGTCCCGCATGGTATTATTTGACAGGGATGATGGCCCTGGCAGGTGCGCAACCGTTGTCGCAGAAGTTCGAAAAAGTTGCTCGCAAAAGCCCGTTTGACAGAAATGTTTAAAAAGTGTTGGGTTTCCTACGAATCCGCAAGAGCGCGCGGGATGAGATTTTGACAATTTTTTGTTGAAAAACCATTGGTTTTTTGATGTTTTTATGTTAAAATCGCTGCGAACACTAAGGTTTTGGAAGGATTTCGTCTTGCGCGCGCGAATGTCCACTTTACCTTATTTTTTGCAAGGGATTCTTGAAATTTGATTATATTAGAACAAGAAATGTCATTTTCTATTGTTTTTTGCAAGGGAAAGCGGATTACAACAAAACAACCGGATCCTGTACACACCCTCTTTTCTGAGGCTTCCTCACGAAAATGATGAACATGTAGCTGCGGCCTAGGCGGCGCAGGGGGGGCGCGCACCAGGGGGCCCAACAATAATTATTCTTTAGAATAAATAATGTTCAACAACAACAACACCACCACCACCACCACCAACAACAACAACAGCAACAACAACAACAGTTCCCGCCTGTACTTCCGCGCGATGTATTGAATAATCGCGCTCTCGCGCGGGACTTCCTCACAATGTACGAATCGCGCTCTCGCGTGGAATTCCTTGCAAATTATTCAGACGATGCGCCCTCGGCGCTCAGGAATCACGCTCTCGCTTTGGGCTTTTTACTTGGACGCGGGCTGGGGACTAGCCTCAACCCCCTGCAAAGCTGACGAACGGCGAAGGACCCGAAGGCCGAAATGGACGAGGGACAGACCCAGGACCCGAGGCAGAGCCGACCGAGAGGACCGACCGAAACAACAAGGACCGAACCTTCGAGGGCCACGGGCAGCAAGCAAGCAGCGCACAACTGCTGGTACCGTCTCTTGGGACGGATTTAAACCCTGGTCCTCAATGGCAGCCATGCTGCCAGCACCAGGTGCAAGTACAAGTACCCTCCACTTCACTTTGATCGCCTCCCCTCACCCCATCTAACAAGGACAGGCTGCCACACACACGAGCCAGGCGCAACGGATGTCTGGTTTCGTCGCGGTTCGACGCTCGTGGTTGCGGCGGGGGCTACAAGGGTTCCAAGGGCACAGACAGGGAATAGCACGGGGGATGAGCATAAAACAAAGAAACAAACGAGAAGAAGCGAAGTTGTTTTTCCTTCTGTTTCTTTACGAGCCTGGGCGCAGCACAAGATATAACAACGACATGTTGCAACGCAACGGGTGTCTGGTTCCGTCGCGGCTCGACGCTCGTGGTTGCGGCGGGGGCTGCAGGGGTTCCCAGGGTGCAAGCAGTTATTCTCCAAACCAGTCGACTACGGCACGGGAGAGATGCATAAGGCAAACAAGCAAGAAAGCAAGAGACAGAGCGAAGCTTTGTCTTCCTCTGTCTCTTAGCGAGCCTGGGCGCAGCTGGGCGCGGAAGAAATGAAACAGACAAGTATTGAGAGGTATACCAAAGTGACCAGCATCGCGCAGGCAGAGCACTGCGTCCTGACTATGTCAGGTCCTGGGCAGAACGACCAGGGAAATACGCTTGCAGAACGTACAGGTCCTCCCCACCATCCCCTCCAAACCATCAACCATCCACCTCCGATAACCTACTAAATGGCTTCGTGCAGCCAATTGGGAACGCATAAATCACGAAAGGTGAAAACATCATGCGAATGGGGAAAGGCATCAACAATATCAGTCTTGCCGATGGGTACGACCGAGCCGATAAATTCACGAGACCGTGGGCGGCGTCCATCCCGCATGTGTTCGAGCCTGTCAATGGTGCCGTTGGCGCGGGGGCGACCCTGCCATCCATGCTTCAAATCTACCACATCGCCCTGGCTATAGCGACCGCATCGGTGTTAGAAAATTATATCACTAGGTCTGTGCAGAGCATGGCCCCCTCCTGTGGGATTGGTGCAAGTGGTTCGAAGCAGGTGCTGTTTGGAAACAGAGCTGGACCGGCAACTTGCACAACGGAACCTACCAAAATTGGGGTCCCAGAAATACTCACGCAGAGCCCCTTCCCGAGGACCCCCCGGAGGAGCAGGGAGGGGGTAGAGGAAATAGGAGGGTCAGAGTCAGTTTGCCAAACATCTTTGGGCAGCTTGAAAATCCAAGCCACACAGTGCCCGATGCATTGTGCGACATGACATAAGTAACAAGCACTATCGCGCGAGAGACCCTATCCAACATCGCCTGATCTTTATAATGGAGGGGTGCACCTAGCTTATCCAGGCGGTCGGCCTCGTGATTGCCCTCGTAATGTACTCCAGCAGGGGCACGATTATGGAAGCGTTTCTTTGGCAGGCGAATTCGGTGGCATCCTATGTCTGACGCAAGTCGGTGGGCCTCCCGCCACAGAGAGCAGTGAACAGCCCATCCGTGGGTAGTGGCTAGCCGCCACTTGTCAATCAAATACTGTACATCAGTGACAGACTCATTTTCAAGTCTGGGAGGAGCGTGCGAAAAGTAAAAGTAGAAAGCATACAACTCCGCACCGGGGGTGTCCTAGACCACGTATGGGCATGCCCCATAGGCCGCAGCGTTTATCCCAGGTCCAGAAAAGGAGCGCATGCCCCATCCCTCCAATAAAGTGAGCGGTGATGGTCCACAAATACCTGAGCCGTCGCCATAGGAAGGCGAGGAGAAGAGGG